TCAAACTCCTGACCTAGTGATTCGCCCGCCTCAGCCTCCCACAGTGCTGGGATTACAGGAGTGAGCCACCGCGTCCATCCAATACTTACACTTTGAAACAAGATCTATGATATATATTTCAATTCAATATATAACTATTGATTTTTAGGTAGGAACCTCCTTTCCCTTAAGTCTCATGTTTCCATTACGAGGGAAATTCATTCAAGTAAGCCTTTCCTCATCGCACCCCAAGGAGGAAAGAGTGGCTTATATGATGGGTGACCATGGTAAAGAATCGGGCACAGGAAACTTAGCCCTTTCTGGATTCCTTTTTCCAAATTATGATGCCTGCAAACAGCACAACAGACAGACTTGTAAAGCAGTGATGAGATCTGAGGCCTGACCCTGTAGCAGAAGTTTGTGTGGCTCAGTGAATCTGGCTGATTCTGGGATTAGTTATTAGCCATCTTGCAGACTCAAAGCCACAGCTTTCAATTCTGTTCAAAGTACTTATAGTGAAAATTAAATCTCCTATCTTTCTAGTACCTGGGTCTAACTCACAGCTCAATCCAAATTTGAAGTGAAAAGTAGAAGGTGTTTTTTAAGCCCCTAAACTCCCCAAATGAAACATTTACCAAGTAAGAAATATATCATGTTGTCACTAAAGATGGAAAAGAGAAATAGGATATTATCCCTGCCCTCAATTAGAAAATATTAAAAACCAAACCAAATGAGGTAACTGATTATACACATATGTATTTTTATTGTCTGTTCTCATTATTCACTTCAGTCCTTGATTTTTTCCCCAATATTGTTTTAAACTAAATTTAACTTATTTTAATTAATAGATAGTTATACTCTGAAACAAGACCTATGATATCTATTTCAATTCAATGCACAGCTGTTGATTTTTAGCTAAGAGCTTCCTTTTCCTTAAGCCTAGTGTGTGTGTTTCTTCCACTATATGGTGATATTGTGGAAGAACAGCACAATATAGTGGAAGACACAAACATACTACAGTACTAAGTAAAATACAATGTATTTTAATAGAAGTATATAAAATTAGGTGGGCCCAGAAAAGGTAGTAAATAATTCTGACTGGCAAAAGAAAGGGAAGTATGCGTGCATGTTGATGGGGGGACTGAGAACAGGGGAGGAGGTTAAGAAGGGTTTTACAAAGATATGGTATTTAACCTATATTTTTGAACAATGAGCAGAATATTTAGGCAGACAACAAAGAAGAATATTTTAATTTTAATAGAAAGAAAATGAGATATAAGTTAACAAAGACTATTAGAACTTAAGAAAATTAATGGGAGCAGGAGTGTCACTGGAATTGGAGAAGGGCTATCTATCAATATATTCAAGGTGAGGGACCTGTTCCAAAGGAAGTGATTGAATTTATTGTGACTGAATTTGTGACGGAGCAGGAAGAGAAGTAGTTCCAGATTATGTGGCTGGTTATATGTCAAAACCATAAAATGAGAGGAATATTTAGAAAGAGGAAGCATTTTGCTGTAAAGGGACTGAAGCGGGGATAACGAAGTTGATTTAGACATCACCATTTAGAAATTTAGGCCTGGTCAATCACAGTGGAGGGTTGTCTTCATATGTATTGGAGTGGGAACCTTTTATAGAAATAAAATTTAAGGAACAGGACAGTATGGTAGGACAAAAGAGGAAAACTGGAGGTGGAGCTAGGGAAATACCTATCTTTATGGGACAGGGGAGAAAGACAAGCCTTCAAAGGAGACATCATAACAGAGGTTTTAAGAAAATCTGTAGAGGTACTTAATGGAGGAGAGATTCAAGTGACAGCGTGGGCAATGTAAAATGTTGCAAGATGCTGCTGAACAACTAGGGAGCCAATGTAAACCACAGAAGAATTTCAGCACAGCTACAGAGCACTAGGAATGAGTAGACGTCAGATTGCAGGTATTACTGGAAGGTAAAAAATGCAGGCAGTAAGTATAAACTACCTTTTCATAAGCCTTCATCAAGGATATGATTGCTCTGAAAGGTCAAGGAAGAAGATAAACCATCCAAGAAAAGTAAGTTTTCTCTAGTGGCTCTAAAAATCATTGCTTCTGAACATGTAAGTAATAATTTGTTTGAAAACCTAGAAAAACAAAGGTTAATAGCAGGCCTGTAACTCACTCCTTGCCAATCCAGGGAAGCAAGGGAAATGGGAAGATATAAATGATAAATTATTTCTTATCACAAATAAACCTCAAATATATTGATTTAAGAAGCAAAACTGAATTGGAATAATTCACTGAATTATGGTAACCCATAAGTATGTTTTCCATTTGTGTAATCAACAGAACATGAAATGGAGGTGCTCCTAAACTAAAATGGTTTCCTTTCCAAACTGCTTTTTACATGCATTATTCAAAAGTCATCTGTTAAAACAGGCCAAACCATGTAACAAGGGAGAAAAGACAGGTGTATCTGATGGTTTTCAACTCCTTCAGGAAAAGAATGCTGCTCTTTTATCTTCTGAATCATTAGAAAAGTATTATATTGAGTACTGAGTGTGCTTTGACAATTTCACCCTTTATCTTAACAGAAAACTTGTATTAAAGGTTAGGAGTTAAGTTGATATAAAGGCATGTAAATGTTAATCAAAATGGGTTAGAATAATCAAATTGCTTGACCATACATAGTTCACAAATTTGTAGAAATAATGTTCATCTCTTAAGAATATAAAATTAAGTTTTTAAAACATTTGCTCTAACATTTTATCTACTATGTATATATTAGACATTAATACAATAATCCCTGCGGTAAATTAGAGAAATTAAGTATCCTCAAAACCCTCTAAGACTCCCTTCTCCTACTCTCCCCATACTGTCTGGGGGCTTCAGATGCATTCTCCAAAGATAACAAAGTCACCACTCTTGATATTGTTATCTTCTGCTTCAAAGCTGCTTTATAGGCATGTTCACAAAGGGTACATGTAGTCTCTATCCTCCAAACCAATAAGCATCTACAGCTTCTGTAATTATTTGATGAAACCTTATCTAAGTTTTATTTTACATTACATAAAATAATTGTTGTTTATTTTACATTACATAAAATTGCTGTTCCTCTTGGCAACAAAGTGATCCCAATAAACTTAGGATAACTGATAATACCAAGACTTGTTATCATTGAGTTTTTAAATGAAAAATTCCTTTTTATTCAATATGTAGAGTGAATATATGTTTTCAATGATATTTTTTCTTCTTCTAATCAAGGTAAATACACTCACTTGGACTTTACAACAACCTGTGCAACAACTGACCCTAGATTATTTGTCTACTGGTTGAGCTGTTTTAAATTTACCAACACAGAGATTTATAAACTCTGTGGCTTCAGTGTCACAAGGGAACACATGCTAGATAGGTTCACCATAACAATAGACCTGCACTGTCCAGTACAGAAGCCACAAGCCACATGAAGCCATTGAGCACGGTAATGTGGTTAGTCCAAAGTGGGATGTGCTGCAAGTACAAACTATCTTTAGTATCTATGACTTATTATGCTGAAAAAAGGGAGTGCAAAATATCTAATAGTTTGTATAATAATGACATGTGAAAATTATTTTTTGAATATGCTGGGTTAAAAAATTACAATTAATTTAATCTTTTTAGTATGGCGACCAGGAAATATTAAAGTATCAGCTTGTGTTATGTTTCTATCAGATGGCACTGATATGGATAATATTGAAAATGTCAGGCTGCTATGGTCAGAAGATTCTACTGACTTGAGAATTTCTATCCTTGTTTTACTACTAACCAGAAACATGTAAGAAAATAATAACTAAACATATTTTAAAATTTTCTTGTTACTCTTGAAATTATTTGGGGGGGGTTATATTTGACTAAAGAGAATGACAAAACGATTCCAATTATGATTTTAGAAGACTCTATAGTCATTTCAACTAAACTTTATATTACAAAAGGGATACAAGACAAATTAAATTTCACTTTTTTCTATTACACATTTTACAAATATAAAAGAATACACAATTTAAAAGTAAATTCTTAAGATGCTAAAACAAGGTATATACACACCTGTACCTATTGTTCAATTCCAGAAATAAATATCTTACGAATAAATGAATAGATTCAGATTAGAAAGATACCTAAAGAAAAGCTTTGAGTAGCCTACTAAGAAGAAGTGGGTTACATTAGCACAACTAAATGTTTTTCTTCAGGATTTGTAAAGAGGTAGTATGCAAACGTCTTCTGAATGACCTCTAATTAAAAAGAGATAGCAATTATAAACAAGACTATCAATTATAACTAAGTCTATTAAAATAGTTCCATCACAATGGAAAAATTAGATGCTTACAGCTAAGAGACAGTGTAACACATCATCAATGAATATATTTGAATTGAAATCAGAATTCATTAAAGTTTTAAGCAAAATTGTCTGTGTACGTATATATGTATTTCTTTTTGTTAGGCATCAGGAAATCTATAAATAACATCATATTTGTTGTCAAAGTATAATTTATCGTAAAACATTATATTGAAGAGTAGATTGATTAAAAATGAATGTAGATATACGAAGGAAGTATTCTATTTAAAAAGAATTCCTGTTATGAGTTTACAGAAGATTGTTGTTAAACCTATAAATACTCTTTATCAGTGGTACTAAGAGGAAAGTGATCCTCCCCTTCAGATAATTCACTGGACCCTATAACATTATCAGCATACTGAAGGCTTCCTGAATAGTCAATAAAACGACTGAACAGCAACAAAAGGGGAAAAGCAGCAGCCAGAAGCAGTTACAAATTACATCACACCATTTGCAACAACATTCATAGAAATATGTGTATGTGTACCCTTGGGTTTATCCACGTACGCATATCTCTACATAGACATGTATAATAAGGGAGGGGGAAATGTAGACAATTAGCAAAGTGAACATGAGTGAATAAACCTGTGAGGCTGTCATGAAACAAAACAAAGTGATTGAAAAAAAATCACTAGTACAAATGATAAGAAATTAAGAAAGTCTTTATTTTATACCTTTCTCGTTCTGGTGAATGCAAACTAGTATCTGGTCTCAAGCAGTTGGTACTAGCACTCCTAGCCCTGTCAAGAAAGGGCTGCAGTTCACTAGTGCCAGTGCATTGCATCCAGTGGTAGAAGAGAAAGACAGAGAAAACAAAGAAAGGAAGACCACGTTAGAGAGTAAAGCATAAAATAATGTCCCCTTTACACAAAATGTAGAATCACTGGGATTCAGTTCATAAGGGTGTGAGAGAGTTGACAGAATGACAGTGTAAAATTTTGTTTAGAAAATGAAGCTAAACAAAGATTATGCTTAAATTGCTTTGCATAATTTTTAGAAGTGTCTCAGACTGAAAAATGAGACTAAATCACACCTACTTATGAAAAAAACTGGATACAGAAAGCAATAAAACAAAATGCCTAGAATTTCATTACCAAGAACAGATGCCACACCAAAACAAAATGAAGGACATCAGAGGAGAAATAATTTTACAACTCAACTTTTTTGGTTCACAACAATAGACAAGAGAAATGGAAGGTATCACTTCCATATGTTCTTACCTAACCAGTATTTCATCAGTAAATCTCAATACTCTTGAGTTAAAGCATTCATGATGAAGGGAAATGTCCTGTCTAGTCACTGATTTGGTCTTAGTATGTGCAGGCAGAACTGAGCTTCACAAATTAAAATTACACAAAAATAAAATAAATTATAATTAAAATCAACAAGTACAATATACAAATGACAAAGCAACTAGACTTCTGACATTTGAGTTAGTAGATTTCATTTAGAGAATTATTCTAGTAGTAAGTTTTATAGTTAAAACGATTTTAGATACCATTAATTTAATGTTTCTCACTGTATAATTATTTCAAAAGAATATTTTATTAGAATGTAAATATTTTCTATTTAATGTTTTATTAGAATGTGAATTTTCTATTTTTAGTAGGCAAGGGATTAGGAATTACTTTATAACTGGGTGGGACTCACTGTTGTGGCTCTTACCTGTAAATATTCCAGTGAGAACTGCTCTGTAATAAAGGCATCTTGGGAGGTAATGTTTTATAGTGCCTACCAAGATGTCTGGAACGTAGCAACACAAACACGCAGGAAACAGAAAAATATATATGAAACCAATTTTTTTAAGATATTCAGAAAGTAGGAGGCCTATAAAGCTATATAGATAAATCTTTTGTCACTTTTTTCTCAAAAGAACCACAATAACTCTTTGAAGGGAAGACAATTATTAAAATATGAAATCATAGACACTTGACTTCATAAAATACTCATTATTTAATTATCTGAATTAGAGAAATACCTGCTGACCAAACTCTAGGAATTATTGATCAATAGTTAAATGTGCTACTTAATCTCTGATTTAATATTACGCCTACTTCTATGGAAGTAAACAACTCATAGCTAAAAGTAAAAATCAACTAATTTATATAATTTTGGAGTTACAGTATGACTAAAAGAGTTAATGTTCTAAAACAAAACAAAGTGTTGACTAGCATTCCAGGGACACAGCTGGTTATAGTACCAGACAGCAGCAAAAAAAGAAAACAGCAAAAAGCCAAGAATTGATTGCAGAGGAGTAAGTTCTTTCTACTTATCAGCTTCTGTCTGGATCCAGACCCAACCACAGGAAATTTACCTTTGGAAGTAGGATAAGGTAGGCATTAGATGCAAACCAGAATATGGATTTTGAACTGGCAGAAAATTGGCCCAACACCACCTGATTCCTTTAAAATCTGTGAGGGTTTCTGGACTGTCTATGCCATGAAGGACAAACTAGTTCAAGCCATATATTTTTTGATAATTTAATAACGTTCTATAAATTTAATTGACTAATTATGAAAATCTATCGTCTACTTCAGCTAGCAGTAAAGCACAACCAAGAGGGAACGGAATAAAAATTTATCAAAGACTTCTAAACATCAAACACCTCACTGGTTTAATCATGTTTATATTAATGATCAAATCAAAGGAAATCTCATAAATCTTCAGTTAAAAAATGAACTAAAATGCCATTTTCTTTTCTTTTTTGAGACAGAGTCTCGCTCTTGTTGTCTAGGCTACAGTGCAATGGTGTGATCTTGGCTCACTGCAACCTCTGCCTACCGGGTTCAAGCAAATCTCCTCTCTCAGTCTCCCAAATAGCTGGGATTACAAGCGCCTGCCACCATGCCCACCTAATTTTTGTGTTTTTGGTTTTGTTTTCCTTTTTTTTTTAGTAGAGATGGGGTTTCACCATGTTGGCCAGGCTGGTCTCAAACTCCTGACTTCAAGTGATCTGCCCGCTTCAGCTTCCTCCTTATTAAGTACAAGTTGAGGACAAATTTTACTGAAACTAAAGATTTAGCCTCCTTTCTAGACAGTGGAGTCTTCTTTTCAACTCCTAACCTCAGGCAAATATCTTTAGTAATAGGTTGCTATAAAACTTTTCTAAGCATTGCTTCAAAAGTGATTTTTTTTTTTTTTTTCAAGAATGGGACCAACATAGAATGGGAAACAGCTAGAAAATAGCACAAAATTTATAGTCTGAATGTTCAAGTTCCTGTCTTGGCTTTGCCACTTATTGGCTGTGACCTGGATAATTCGATTAAGTCTTCAAGCCTGTTTCTACATCCACAAAATGTGAGAAATAACATCCACTTAACAGGGGTGTATGATAACACGTATACAATATTTAGGACACACTAGGATACAGTAAGGCAACTACAGCATTTTCTCTATACTACCACTTCCTCGAGACACATTTTACTAAAAAAAGGTTGGGCAATTAAATAATTTGGGAGAAAAGAAATTAAACATACAGATTTCTTTAGAACATGACTTTAATATGCTGTGTGTATTAAATTTCAAGGTAGACACTTTCATTTGCAAAGTTTCCAAAATGTATTTGACTCACAAAAACTTTTATTGGTGAAACATCTCATAGGACAAGTTTCCATATTTTTGGAAAAACTAGTTAAGCAGAAGATATCAAGTAGATCTGATTTTGAATCCTTGCTCTATTAGTCGTCAAATAAACTTTCTTAGCTTTTTTCCTCATCTCTAAAATCAGGATAATAATATTCATAACATATAATTACTGTCAGGAAATTGACATAAAGTACATTAAATATTTAACACTGTGCTTGTTATTAAATAAGTGTTATTTTCCTTATGTTTACTGGAGACTAGTAAATCCTCAGACTTTATTTTTAAAAGTCCTAAGTGAACATGGTATGATGTATTTTGAAAGCTTTAGATTTTAGCCATGGATAGTTATATAAATAATAAATGTCCATAGTTTATATGAAACCAAATTATATTATTGATATATCCATATAAAGCTGTGGTTATATATATTTACACATTGTGACATTCGTTTTTATTCAGATATATTTTTATAAATACATGAATATAAACATAGAAGAGATTATATATACATACACGCACATATTTTTGAACTCATATTGTCTCTATCTCCATACTTTTAGCATTACACATTACAGAATGAAAGACAGGAAGGAGAAAAGCCACTGGTGACATACGTTTTGCTCTGACACATTTGGCTAGCTCAGCTTCCACTTCCTATCTTGTTGTAGTACCTGTCTACAGAACATGATCTGCCTCACTGAATACTCATCTATTTTTAAATTGTATACATACAAATATGATTATTTGCTTAAATCAGGAAATGCAAAGTCAACATACAGAGTCTATTAAATAGGACTTGCAGAGCTCAGAATTATTAGCAAAGCACCATTCTTAAGGATAAGATTGTATAAAATGATGCAGCTATTACTTTGTATTACAAGTACAAAATAAGGGAAAGAAAAAATACCTTTAGTTATTATATTTAGACTACTGGTGTGAGTATCCTAGAAATATTCACACACTGAGTGCCAGGCACATACTAGGTAGCTTAAAATGTAATGATTTTTTTTGTGTTTGTTTTGTGTGCGTGTTTTTTTTTTTTCTTTTGCAGCTTTAGTCACATCAACAGGACTGTGAGAAAACTTTCAGAATTAGTAAATAAACCATTCTTATTATGAAATTGTTTGTTAAGAAGAACAAGTCATAATAAACCTGGATAGTTTATGCTTTGACTTTCAGTAGGTTTTTATAATATGCATGATTTTACATTTTTTTCTCAGCAAATAGAACTAATAATTTCCTCGATTTTTTCCTGTGGCACTTCAAGCAAACATGGCAGCAGTTATCAGTAGTATAATTTTAGACTGTAAAAAGTTCAAACAAATTTTATTAGCCCAATTTTGTTTGCATTATTGGGCAGAACGACATATTACACACAGACATCATAAATCATGCATTTGTCTTTGCATCGCAAGTACTGCGGTTATACCTCTTTCCTTCTCTTTCCTCTTACTTTTCATTGGCTAAAATATTTGAGTTTGGTTATTATGTGTTAAGTTTGTTTCACTGACTTACTACTTCCTTAACTTCTATATTCATTTCAAATATACATTAAGTATTTATAGAATATGCTCCATGAGTAATCTGTAAGAAGTTTTACTTTGGATATGAAATTAAAGATGTAATGAGATTAACATAAAGCATCAGGCTCTAAGCTCCAATTTAGAAGCAAAAAGTATATATTTTGTCGCTTCTAAAGAGGTATTCATATTGTTATATGCCTTTGTGGGAAAGTTTGTACTGCAGCATTTCTGACAACTAGTGGGCTAGGATAGTTAAGATCAGGTTGAACATCTTCATTTTTCATCAGGAAAGAAGCTGAAGCTCAGCCACTAAAAATGAACTGTTAAAGATTTTATCAAAAGCAAACAATATAAACAACAATAAATTCTAAAAGGAAATAAAAAAAGACTAAAACAGAGCAAACTCACAATTATGAAACAACGACACTGCCATACACAGATTAGACCTCTTGTGACTAGACAGGAATATGTGTGGGAAGGTTGGGGGCACTCACAGTGAGCATTTAGAATTTTAATTGCAGAAACTGGTTCCTCAGTTTTAGGAATTAAAACAGTCCCAGAGAGGCCCACTGGTCTCTGGATTTTTGAATGTAGAGATGGCAAAGTAGTCTGCCTGAATCAGAACTGAAATATATTTGGAACGTCTTCCATAACCTCAATATAAAACAAAACAAATTTGGAATACTTGGGAAATTTATTTGACCTGCTTGTAATAATACCACTAAGGGAGAGACGGAAGAATAATAGAATGGAAAGAGAGTCATCACACACAATCACCATTACCAAATCCCTGTATTTACCTGGTAGTATGTAGGCATTCTGCACTTCGTCCTCGTTTTGCTCTGGGCAGCATAAGAAGCTCACTGCACAGACAGGATGGGTGGTGAGTGAAACAGATAAATTATGAGACATGGGTTATGCCAATGGTATGCCAATGAAAACATGAAAAGGGAAGAAACCAGATTGTCTGCACTAGCATATTTGCTTGAGAGGTTAAACAAAAATAAACATGAAAGCATTTAAAAATTTTAAACAATAAAGTACAAATATTATGATTGAAGTCCTAGCTGTTGCTGATTTGCCATTGTATTTCAAAATGATTTTATAGAATATTAAAACAAAACAAAATTAAATATTCCTCAAATAAGATATAGGAATCTGTTTCCAATTATAGACAACTGAGTATTTTTTTAATACTATAAATTTGGCCTGATACCAATGGGAACTCCGAACATTTTTATATCTCTGTAACAAATTAAAGCGTGGTAGTTTTCTTGGCTTTTATAGCCACTGAAAATGCAATACCATATTATGTTTCTTATTAACCAACTAACAATATAATTGATTAGAATTTTTATTTTAAAATTAATACTTTATCTATATCCAAATTAATTTCACAATATTGACTGCCCTGGTCAAGTAGCCGTGTGTTTTCCCTCCTCACCTAAACTCATGGTGCCCCAAATGAATGTTGATAAAACAGCCCTCATTCAACTCAAGCTGAGATGTCTGGAATCCTATTCCTCAGAGCAGCTCTTCATCCTGGTACCTATTGTAACTCCATTCTTGAAGGTCACAACCCTACTTTCTACAGTAGGATGGCAATTAGGTAGGTTAAGAAGTTCTACTTGGGTTCTGTGTCCTTGACTCCATGGCGAAAAAATCATTTAGCACCACTATCATGACCCTACTCCTACTGAAAGTTTCTCCATTTTAAAAAGCCAGAAGAGAATATTCAACAAGGTGGATATTACAAAACCTTAAATCAGATCCTGAGCTTATAATCAGGCTAAATGTACAGGTATATGGTTACTTCAAGAAGAAAGTCTGTGGGCATGCAAAGCAACAGATTCATAATGTAGACTTATAGTAACTGTTTCCATGAAACATTAGTTCACAAATGCAGAATTAAATCTAAGTACATATCCCCGTAAGAATTCATCTCAATATTTTGTATTCTAGACATTTTCTAGAAAGAGATTTTATGAAAAGAGGTATATAACAGAAACATTATTATTGAAGTTCTCATAGAAACTCTGAAATTAACTTTCAAATGACATATATCCACAATGTTTTAAATTATATAAATAACATAATTTTTATGATTACTAATACCTCAAATATTGTGATCCACAATAAATAAAGTATTTGAAAACTGCCTATGCAGGCTCCTTTCTATAATTTAGGTCAACATCTAAGTCAACAAGCTGTACCTTTAAAGCTGTCTAAGCATAAATTCTGATTTTGTAAAAGAAATTGGATAATTATAACAATATAATATTAGCCAAATATTTCCTAGAGTTGCATTTTAGAATATCTTAACAGCTGTTGCTTGAGAGAAGTTCATTTTTGAGTGATACTTTTACTCTCTAATGTGCTATGCCACAATATCTGTATATATTAAAACAGAACAAAAATTCATAACATTGAGATCATAATTTTGACAAATACCTGTCTTGTTCTGATAAATACTGACTATCCACGTCTCTGGCTCTATGATCAACTGGACTTCGGGAGGCATCATGGTGTCTGGTTGGAGAACGTGACCTTCTTGTTGGATGAATTTCATCTAAACTCCTAAAATGATTACAAAATTCTATGTGTCAAATTGTTTCATCTTCCCAAAACAGGCAGACAGACTAAAGTGAAGGAACTGACAGTGATATGCAAATAAACACTGAAAAGTATTTGCGTCATAATCAAAACCTATTTTATCAATGAGTTAAGAGTATTTATTTTCTACGAGTTTTTGCCTGTGGCTGCATTTCTCCAACCTTCTTTCACACTTCTACCAAAAAACAATTTTCATCGGCATAATTAATTACAATTTCAGGAGTGTGTATCAGAGTAAAATGAAGTAGAGCAGTATATTATATGTTTTATTTATATTTCCAATCGTTTGCTTCAAAGAGACAATTCTAAAACTCTTCAAAGTCCATTCTATCTCTTAACCTTATCCTCTTTGCCACTTCTCTCCACAATTCTGATTTGCTACAATTTTTTTCTAACAAGAAAGAAAACTAGCAAACAGAATACAAGCCAATTATTCAAAAACTATTCCTAGGACACAAACGATTTCTACTCCCTGGGAAATTTATTCAGATTAAAATAGACTGCCATATAGGTTGGACAAAGAATAAAAAAGCATTTTGCCTACAGTTAATTCTGAAAAAAACAATTTGACCAAACTATTTTTTCATTTCAGTTAGTTTTGCAGCAATTTACACTGCATTATAATAAAAATGTACTGTCAGGGACACTGAGCCCATTTCAAAGCCTACCTCTGTAATGGCACATTTGGTAAACGTGAACGCGGCTTTCCCTGATCATTGCCGCGATGAGGAGATACTGAACGTGAGCGGTGATGAGTTGTTCTTTGCTGTTCTGGCACAGTTAATGTTGTAGATTTACTTTCTCTAGCACTAGACCTATAGCCTACTGGCAAGAGTACACACAGAAAATATTTAGTCAGTATTCTTCTGTAATGCAAACATTAACACAGAAATATAAAATTACACTAAAGCAGCCATTGATCTATAAAGAATACATGTCATGCAATCAGTTAAGTATACCTACATAGAGTGTAACATATACATGCACTGAAACAGGTTACAGTTGGCTCAAAAGTACCATGGAGATACTAATACGAATATGACAGTTGATGCCTCAGACATTATGATGAGTTGGGATACTGTTTCAATGTAAATAATGAATGAGTTCGTGACTTAGTAACACAAATGAAGCGCTTGACAGGAAACTATAGTTAATATACAAGTCAATGCTTAGAAATATATTTAATAAATTTAAATAAATTTAAATAAATTATTCATTTCAATTTTTATTGCAGAGGATAAATTACTTTAGTTGGATTGCAAATGGCCCCTTTAATAAGAAAACGAATATATTATTTCAGTTTTAATTAACAAAGAAGAGTAGGAGATCTCCACCATTATACTGATTAAGTATACCGTTATACTGATTGTGAAACCACAAATAATACTGCAATTTTCAAATGTAGTATATGACTGAAGATGACGATCACAATAATGTAGAGAAAATGATCCCTTCTAAAGAACCAATTGCCAAATCTACCTTACACATCTGAAACTACTCCATAATTATTTTAATTAGCATAATTAAGATAATATAGTTAACATATTGCAATTTGAAATTAATTATAACAGCTACTTTTCCCCTGAAGTTAAGGTTTATATTGTCTCTGATATGGTTAAGATAAAACAGTAATCTCAAAACCAAAATAAGAGTTTAGAGTTTAAAATTTTTTCACAAGGGTCACTGTCTTTTATTATCATAAGGAAAATTAAAAAATTATGTGGCCAAAGTAAAAACAAAAAACTATATTTACAACTACATAAAACATACATAAACCATAAATACATTAAATTTAACTGGGAAGCTAAAACTGTTGCTCATTTTTTACTTGGTAACTCTCACATTATCTCAAAAATATGTTATGAAACATCATGAGTAAAGGCAGGCTAATAGTCCCTAGCAGTTTATATACTGTGAATCCATGATCTTATGCCTAATTTTAAGGGACTTCAAACATTTCATTACACTTACTTTGACAATATTCAGACCAAATAAATACAACCATTTTGCCACTCTGTAAAAACATATGTTTAATTATCATAAATGGTATAATTTATAATTTCAAATACTTTAATTTTTTATCTTATCAAAATACCAACTAAGCTATTGAGTTTTGTGTAAAAAGTCTGTTATTCAGATGTAATATTATATTGTAATTTTAAGACTAGAAATTATAATATTAAGGCTAGAAAGAGACCCACTAAGTTAACATGTAGTGCATACACTATTAATACATAGCTCATTGTAAAAAAAAAAAAAAAAAAGTGACTGTTTTTTAAAGACAATTAATCCATAGTCTGAATTACTTAAACATTTTTAGTTACCATTTGGTATCAATTATACAATAATTATGGAAGGCCAATATTGACTTATGAGCCCTATTTCGAGATTTAAGTGCATATTCAAGGTATATAAATAGATTTTGTAAAATTAATTATTACAGAATAAATTTTAGAGAATTTTGGCATCTTGCTGTTAAAGATATATAATTAATTTGTTTCTTGGATTCTTTGTGTTTATATAGAAATTAATGTCTCTTTTGTCCTATTAAGAAGGGACTTTAAGGAAACAAGTGAAATCTTAAAACTTTTAATATATTAACAACTTTCAATGTAACTTAGAAAGTTCTGAATTCATAAAGAGAAAGTACACTGAAGGCAATGTGTACTATTTTGGTGACTCAAAGTCATTTTGAATATAACATACGCTATAATATTCAAAGTTTTAACATTTGACTCTATAGTAAATGATCTCAAATAAATATGCATTTATAGTTCTTTGCAATTTACAAAGAAAAAGTTCTTTGCTTTTTAAATTTATAGTTGCTTTTTACAAAAAATTTTATTTTCTTCACATGATGTTTAATTTATTGTTGACAACATGCACTCTATCTTCAGAACCATGACTGGTATCAAACTTTTTTTTTTTTTTTTTTCCCAGTCGGAATCTTGCTGTCCGCCCAGGCTGGATGATCTTGGCTCACTGCAATCTCTGCCTCCCGTGTTCAAGTGATGTTCCTGCCTCAGCCTCCCAAATAGATGGGATTATAGGTGTGCGTCACTAGGCCCAGCTAATTTTTGTATTTTTAGTAGAGATGGGGTTTCACCATATTGGCCAGGCTGGTCTGGAACTCCTGACCTTGTGATCTGCACACCTTGGCCTCCCAAAGTGCTGGGATTACAGGCATGAGCCACCGTGCCCGGCTAGGATGAAACTATTTTGTGGTAATCCCAATGTTTTAGTTTACTCAGAGTTAGAGATTAGAGATTCTTTTTTCTCATTTTCTGGTTGAAGTTGCTAGATTCCTCACCTCAGATGAAGGCATTCTGTATATGGTCATTTTTATTCTTCTTAATCAGCTAAAATTTTTTACTTTAAATAACAATAAGGCTATAACTACAAAGTTAATAAAATGTGGCTCTGGCAGTCTCAACTGCTGAAAACCTGCTATATTTCCCTAACTGGAAAAAGATAGTAAGCACATGAAACAAAAACAGAGAATTTTGTGTTCTAGAAAAGCCAAGGCATTAGGAAGTTTAAGTTTTGGCTGTAGTAGAACATTTTGTATACAGCTTTTGAGCTTCTCTAGATAATATACAACCAGGAACTTCCTTGAGTACATTAAACATATATAGAAGATGACTTCCATATCTAAACAAATTTTTTCTTCATATTGGATGCTAGAAATATAGAAGCAAATTTGTAACCAACATTTAAAAGTACATAGGAATGCACTGTGCTAACTTATCACCTCACTTTATTTCAGCTTCTTGTCCTTATTTTACTGACTCATCTTTCCTCTTCACTTAAAATGTATTGTATATTACTATGTGACTAATTATATTTGCCGTACAGATACTACCACATAATCACAATCGATCAATGAAGAGTGTATCTGAAAATATTAATGAATTACATGATCTCCTTTAATTTATGAGGAGATCTTTGAAACATTAAATATTACTTATTGGTTTTACAAGTTACTAGTCACATTCTATTAAAGTTTGACTCATTACATTTTAAAATGCTAAATAAAAATGAACAATATTATTTGAAAAATACTGCTTCTGTATAACAGAGATTATGCATGTTTGCAAACACTTTGAGGGACATGGTATATTTCAGTATGGAATATAGGTATATTTAGAATTCAGTGCTCCTTGTTGATACTTAAGCACTAATCCCATCTCTGGTGGATTCCATAACTCACTTTGACTTCTCACAAGATGTTATCCATGTTGCTCTCTCAGAGAAAGAGGAAGAAACTCATCATTTGTGTAAGTATTTATTTAATTGGCCATTTATTTCATTCACTATCTTGTCTCATAACAGAAAATATGAAATTTCAGGTGAACAAAAATTGGGAACCACTCACCGAAGTAAATTCTATTTAGATAAACTGGTAATGACAACATTAAGGCTGATTAATGGTAAAGATTCTTGTTAGAGGTGATGATTTTTCCACCAGGAATAATCTAATTCCTATTTGAATATCCCAAATTAATTTAAATGTATAATCACTTTACTCTTTCAATTTAATGACAAACTAATATGATGTTACATTTTGTGTGAACTTTTTTGTTGAGAATGTGTGTAATTATTATGGCCTTCTAAGAAATAAAAACAGAAAGCAAAAATGAAATGCTCTCCAGTATGATCTAAATCTCTCACCAATACACTGACATTAAAGATTAATATATAAGTATATAGATTTTCACAGCACTAGATTTATTATTTTAACAATATTTTCTACTTTCACACAGTGATTAAATACTACATTTTTGGCTACGCATGGTGGCTCACACCTGTAATCCCAGCACTTTGGGAGGCCGAGGTGGGCAGATCACAAGGTCAAGAGATCAAGACCATCCTGGCCAACATGGTGAAATCCAGTCTCTACTAAAAATATAAAAATTAGCTGGACATGGTGGTGCACGCCTGTAGTCCCAGCTACTGCGGAGGCTGAGGCAGGAGTATCACCTGAACCTGGGAGATGGAGGTCTCAGTGAGCCAAGATCGTGCCACTACACCCCAGCCTAGCGACAGAGTGAGACTCTGTCTTAAATACATACATACCTACATACATACTATATTTTCTCTGAATTATAGGGAACAAATGCAACTTGATTTTAGAGAACTCTCCATAATTTTCTCCCAGTTTTAGTAAAGTTGTATGCATCTCTCCAAACTGTGAAGTTAGTATGGTAGAATTTATCAACTTGAGCAAAACCATTGCCCTCAAATTAAGTACACTACCATCTGAGAAATTACATAAATGAAGGGCATACATTTCAATATTGTCTTTAAAAACTGCCTTTAAAAATCATATTTATACATTTTAAGACTGTCTCTTTCATTTCTTCTTATTTGAATATTTACTTCTCCTCTCATTAGTAAATTTTTAAAAAGTATAGAATTAGTGCCAAGAAAGTCTTTATCACTTGATTTTACACACTTCTCTGACAAAAGTCAGATGAGAAACATTTAAAACGTACAACATCACAGAAGTCTTACTAACTTACACAATGACAAAAAGATGTTCACTTCAAATGAGTACTTCATCTTTCTTAAACATATTACTATTTTAAAACATATACACACATTCTCTAGCTACAATCAGTGGGGAACACATCACAAAAGCTTTAAAAGTGATGGCCAGGCCACACATGCAATTTTAAACCTGGCCATGCACTTTTCTCAGTATATTCCATGGAAGGCTACATTATTTTGAGAAATGGTGGAAGGAAAATCATAGAAATGCAATATAAAACATAGAACAACGGAATTTTTATTTAATAACCCCATCTTTTCAAGATAAAGTTCATATTTTCACTTATGCTCAGAGCATTGTGAAATAATGATTTGTTTCACCTAGTTAGCCATGTTTCTATGGAAGAACCTCACTAAAATAAGTGGGAATGCTAATTAGCAGAGACTAGTACATTTAAAATTTTCTTAATAATTTGAAATGTGGCCAGGCACGGTGGCTCACGCCTGTAATCCCAGCACTTTGGGAGGCCAAAGCGGGCGGATCACGAGGTCTGGAGATCGAGACTATCCTGGCCAACACGGTGAAACCCTGTCTCTACTAAAAATACAAAAAATTAGCTGGGTGAGGTGGCGGGTGCCTGTAGTCCCAGCTACAAGGGAGGCTGAGGCAGGAGAATGGCATGAACCCGGGAGGCAGAGCTTGTAGTGAACCAAAATCAGGCCACTGCACTCCAGTCTGGGTGACAGAGTGAGACTCCGTCTAAAAATAAAATAAAATAAAATAAAATAAAAATAATAATTTGAAATGTAAGTCACCATGGAATAATATAATACTGATTTCTCTGTGATATAAATCTTCAGTTTAGTATCCTAAAGAGGTCTGGAAGCTGACAGAGAAAACAAGCAAAGCAGCACAGTGAAGCAGGGCCATGCTCTTCACTCACGCACCTGGAGGAACTACGCCAATACCATCATCAACCTCATAATCTGAGATGTCACTATCACTGATTCGCTGAGATCCTGCACAACAGTAAGGCAAACAGATACCTCTGTGTCTGGTTGGTTTATGAAATGTAAAGGACATTGTTAAACTTTTTTTAAAAGTAAATTACATTACTACTGAAAACTTATGAAGACTAATACAGTACACACTGAGCTAATTTTAAAAGAAATGTTTGTTCTCTAAGGATAACATTTTATCAGTATTTTCTCCTCATTACACCAAAGACATATAGAAACAAGGGGACTTTACCGAGTAAGATTTTCGGATTAATTCTTTAATTAAAATATTATACTAAAAGCCTGTAGCACAGTATATACAGTACATTGTTTTCTACACAATTAAGTGCTTTCCTCTGCAGTTCAGAGAGGATAGGGCTGAGTGGAAAGGTTCAGAGACATTTCTTGGCTGGAGCTCTATTCAGCCTGTTTTATGAAAAAACATCAGGGCCCTTTATAAAATATTTATGTTTAGCTCCCCAAGTTAGTCACTATACTTCACTAAACATTGACTTTGAGGAAATTACTGATCAGGGGAACATCAACATGAAATATTTAATTATGTGAGAAAAATAATTTAGTTCCAGATTACCAAAATGAGGCGTCTTTCAGTTGTTAACTTAGAAATGTAGCTATGACTCCAAAATTACTCGATAAGTACAGAAAAAAGTAGCTTTTCCCAATCACTAGATGAATCTTAATAAACATAACCTTCTAATATTTTAAACAATATTTCTTATGAATAACTATTAAAATATTTATGAACTGGCTGGGCATGGTGGCTCTCGCCTGTAATCCCAGCACTTTGGGAGGCCGAGTGGGGTGGATCATGAGGTCAGGAGTTCAAGACCAGACTTGGCCAACATGGCGAAACCCCGTCTCTACTAAATACACAAAAATAAATTAGACGGGCGTGGTGGCACGTGTCTGTAATCCTAGCTACTCTGGTGGCTGAGGCAGGAGAATTGCTTAAACCTGTGAGGCGGAGGCTGCAGTGAGCCAAGATCATGCCAACACACTCCAGCCTGGGTAACAGAGTGAGACTCTCTCGGGGGAAAAAAAAAACAACAAAAAAAAACTATGAACTATAAAGTTATTAAGACCTCACATGTAGCAACCCACCAATGATGATAGAAATTATTCCATCAGTCAATAATCAACAGCTCAATTGGCCCTGTGCAAGAATTTTAATTCAGAGGTTTTTGGCTTTCAGCTCTGGAATTACTCTGCTATGCTATATTATTTTCATTGTGAAAATGTAGAAACAGTTTTGCCAAGATTCTTCATAAAAATGAACAATTTTCCAATATTTTGATCTCTAATAAAACATTTGAAAAACAAAAACATCTTGAATTATTAATCACTAATTAGATCATTACAGCATAATTACTTTGTGGCAACTAAAACAACCTTAACCTACTTTGTAGCTTTTTGCTAGAGCTTTCTCCATGAATATGTCGCCTTGGCATGAAAGGTGATGGCTGAGGCAGAGGTAGTGAAGACTCATCATGTGTCTGAAGTTTATACCAATGCGGTTCATCGTCTAAAAGCGCTGTCTCCAATTCTATGAGGATCTGAGAGGGTAATTCTCAAATTAAATCAAGTACCTTTATCAAAACATAATGTAACAGCAATCGTAATAAATATCACAAAACTTTATTAACTATTTGACTTGAGTTTTTAAAATATACATCACCTCTCCAAGAAATTCACTTTCTTCTTCTTGCACTCTGGGTTGGTCCCACACAGTTATTTCTAACATTCGTTCTCTAAAATCTCTACGATGTACATGTGAATAGACAAAAGTTTGATTCCATTTTGGTTCTAGTATTTTCTTTACTGTTTTGGTCCTCCTTTTACTTTTATCACTGAAAAATAAGTATGTTTTGTAAATGAAAAAGCAAGTATTTGCTGCCATCTACTGTAGTCACATGTAAAACTGCCATTGATATTTATATTATTTTAACTTATAACTCATTGAAAGTCTATAAAAAGATACTAGAGTTCAATAATCTAACTTCAATTACAATATAAGCAGCAGTTGTAATTATAGCGACACATACAAGGGTACATTCTAAATGATGTGTCGCTATCAAAGACTAATATGTCTATAAACAAGGTAATAGATTTCTTTTTTAATTGGCAGATTATTTTCAAATATTTCCAACACAAGGCTTGAGGGACTTCCTTTTTCAGAGATAATGTACTTTTATCTCCTCAGAAAGAATTATCTATTATGTTTTTTAAAAATATCCCAAAAGAGAAAATTCTACCTTTTCTATTAGTATAGATTTTAGGATTTTTCTTTTTTTCTAAAATTATTCACTACCTTCTATCTGGAAGAAAATACATTTTTACATAGGGATTTCGAGGACGCCCATCTACTCTAGCAGGTAGATCTGTTGCTTGCAGAACATTTACAATCAGCTGGTGTCCCACTTTATCATACCACAGTTTCACCTAGAAGCAATGAGGAAAGGAATTATTTGTAAAAATCATGAAGCATTACAATTTTACGTAAAACAAAATTAAAGTTATATTTAAAGGAGGAAATTTTGAATTACAATATAATGCAAAACAGATATTTCTAAAAACATACCAATTTGAAAGCATAAACACACAGAACTTTACTTTGCTCTTTGAGTACTTTAAACATAACGTAAAACTGGCAGGCCTTCAGTGTTACTGTACATTCTCACATATCATTTTATAAAATAAAACTAATAATAATTTTTCCAAAAAACTAAGGGAAGAGGGAGATATAAAATCATTACTATTGTTCTTAAATGTTAAAAATAAGAGTCTGAGGATTATATGTGTCTAAATGATTATAGCGTGACTAAATGCTTTTTCTGGTGTCACAGGTAGTTAAAATAAAAAAAAGAGTTTGGATATTAGGAATAAGACATACAAAGAATTAGAAGAGATCATAAAACATATTTACTGTGGGCCTATTTTATACAGGCACTGCTAAGTATTTCCTGGTATTTTTTCTCACATTTTTTTTTATTTTTTGGAGACATGGTCTCACTCTGTCACAGGCTGGAATGCAGTGGCATGATCATAGCTCACTACACAGCCTCAAACTCCTGGAACCAGCAATCCTCCCAGTTCAGCCTCCCAAGTAGCTGGAACTACAGGTGTGCACCATCATGTCTGGCCATTTTTTAAACTGTTTTATAGAATTGGGGATCTTGCTATGTTACCCAGGCTGGTCTTGAACTCTTCAGCCTCTCAAAGTGCTGGGATTAAAGGCCTGAGCCACTGCACCAAGCCCTCATTTAATTTTTAGAATTAACCTATTACACGTTATTTTTCATGAGAGAAGGAGGAAAAAACAAAGGATACAATACACAAACGATATCTTCAAACTACAAGAAGGCCAAATGATATTTCTATTAACCAAGATTTCATGACAGTAGACCAAAGAATACTGGGGAAGTAACATACTAAAATCCTGTCAAACTCATAAGAATTGGATTTTATCAGTCATTACAGTATCTGCCCTGGCAGTGGTGATGACACTTTAACAATGTCATCACCTTTAATTTTTTTCCTTTAATTTAGAAGTTACTTCTCATTCTATGAGTAAGCATATGCTGTTAATGGGTATATGTTAGAATATATCTGAGAGTCATCATAACAAAATAAACTAATTTAACATAGGATTAGCTTTTCATGGTAAGGCACAGATTAAGAATTCAAACCTGGATCTGTCTGATTCCCACTTGATACCTAAGATGTGGTTTTCACAGAACCAGAATAGGTTTCCATCCTCTTTTAAAATATGTGGAGAATACAAGAGATTTACACATACACTGAAGAAAAAGATGGCAGGGCAGATAAACCCAAAGGGTATTACAAAGATATTCAATATACTAAAAATAAAAGTTAAAACCATAAAAGCCCTAGAGAAATAAGCTTATATATATCTTCTCTGTCTCATTAAAACCAAGAGAAAACCACAAAGGCAGACCACAGAAATCCACACATTATCAGAGGAGCAAAAGGTCATTTTCTGTATAACAACTTGAAACAAATAGTCTGAAGTCCTTAAATTATAATATCAACATAACATTTTCCAACATAATCTACAAATATATGGCTCTTCATTATACTTAACCCTAGTTTCTTCACTCCAGGTTTCCCCAGATCACATAATAAGGCAATAGTGAGAAAATGGTAGCTTTTTCAGAGAGCTTTCAGTGGCAATGAAGAGTTTTGCCAAATGCCTTAGGAAGTTAAAAAGAATATTCCAAATTTAGGCTCTTCAGGCTCTAGGCTCATAAGGTTGTTACATAAATGGGGCATGAATTCCTAATATTATGTGTAAACAATTATTTACCTTAGAAACTTTTACACCAAAAATATGAATATTTACTTATGTTACCATTCATCAATTAATGTTCAGAGTATCTGGCACATTGCAAGCACTCAGTAAGTATTTCTGAATAAATATATGAATAAAGGAATAATTAAAAAATTCATGAAAAACTAATGAAGTAGATTATGGTGTTAAATGACTATGTATTGCAGGCTTCAAGGAAAGGGGAACGTATTTAAAGACAGACTCAGACAGTATATGCAAATACTAACAGTCTCCAACATGTACAAAAAATACATACAGAAAGTTGCCCTGGTAAGACTTGTGGGGCATCTTTTAGAGCTCCAGGACTTGTTGGAGAAATAACAGAAATAGAAGGCCTTTCCATCTTCTGAGATTCAAAGGAACTTGAACCTAAAATAAGAAAAAAAGGTAGTATTTGTAAGTGTAGAAAATATTTTTAATAAAATGTTAAATGCATCCGTATTTGCATAAAACCATAATTACTACCACTGATAACAGAACCTACTTTTAATAGGGTAGATTTTGTCTTCAGTTAATTGTCTATTTAAGAAATATTAAGAATGATATAATGAAGTGTTGTGCTTATTTCAATTGGAAAGAATTGATCTACATTTCTGGAGTGCATGGTATTACACAGACTCTTGTATGACTTCACATATGGGTAAAGGTCTGCTTCAGCGATAAGGAAGATAGTTCCTGTTAACACTAATTATCTTGCCTAAAGTTCTTACTGAGAAATTAAAACGAATGCATACATAATATAATTTATGAACCACATCTAAACCAGATTTTGTCATTGTTTTAAAATCAGATATACCATCTATCTTAGTTTTGATCTTATAAATGAGTATCTTGAACCTCTGAAAATGCTACTTCAAGTAATTCACGACTAGTGATTTGCTTCAACTTCACACGAAGGAGGCTGGGTCTCCTCTCGGCCACTTGGTGGAGTTCTTCACTGTTCAAGTATACCCTGACACACAGAGCAATATAGAGTGTTTATAGAAGGCTATTAATCTAGAAAGTATAACCTTGAACTCACCACCATTCAAACTTAGCCAATGCTTCATTGAGAAATACTGTTTATGAAGCATTGCCTGAGTATGTGCAATGCACACATTTTTTCTATAACTACAAATTAATTCTCATGTCATATTTTGTGCCCTCCAAAAACTGTTAGTGATAAAAAACAGCTCTATAAAATTGTTACTGTGTGTATTTTCCCAGGTATATTTAAAATACATTTCCTTGAGTCTCACTACAGGAACGCTGTTATTTCTAATAATGCTTGTTTGTAATATTATGGCAATCAGTGTATTTTTTAATCATATCAATAATATAAATTATGCAATTAGTCCCACTTCTTCTTTGTATTGATCATCAGAAAGCTCAAAGCCAAAACTGGGTACACCTCTAGCAGAACATGATGGTATGCATTTTAGATGATAACCTAGCCTAGTGTCTGTTTCCTTGTTTATCCTACTTTCATATTTTCTTCTCCCTTCTAATCACTATCACTGGTTTTCCCCTAAATCACCTTTTATTCTCTACTTCTATAACCTGGGTTCTGTAAGAACATCTCGGGAATCAAGTCCAAGTATTAACTTAATTCCCATCCATTGCAAAGAAAATACTTGGGTCACTTCTGCATTATCACTGAAAACTTAATTGTCTATACTTTATTGCACACAATATCATCTTCTCTCATACAGAAATGACTTTAATTCCCATATAGATAACTCTTTCAACCCTCTGGTTTCACAATCCCTTGACCCATTATGTTTAGTGAAGTTTACCCATTCATTTCTAAAAACAATCCACACACTTTGTTATTGTCAGGCCTCTGGGCCCAAGCCGAGCCATGGCATCCCCTGTGACTTGCATGTATATACACCCAGATGGCCGGAAGTAACTGAAAAATCACAAAAGAAGTGAAAATGCCCTGCCCCTGCCCTAACTGGTGACATTCCACCACAAAAGAAGTGAAAATGGGCCAGGCACGGTGGCTCACGCCTGTAATCCCAGCACTTTGGGAGGCCGAGGCGGGCGGATCACGAGGTCAGGAGATTGAGACCATCCTGGCTAACACAGTGAAACCCCGTCTCCACTAAAAATGCAAAAAATTAGCCGGGCGTGGTGGCGGGCGCCTGTAGTCCCAGCTACTCGGGAGGCTGAGGCAGGAGAATGGCGTGAACCCGGGAGGCGGAGCTTGCAGTGAGCCGAGATCGCGCCACTGCACTCACTCCAGCCTGGGTGACTGACCGAGACTCCATCTCAAAAAAAAAAAAAAAAAAAAAAAAAAAAGAAGTGAAAATGGTAGGTCCTTGCCTTAATTGATGACATTACCTTGTGAAATTCCTTTTCCTGGCTCATCCTGACTCAAAAAGCTCCCCCACTGAGCACCTTGTGACTCCCACTCCTGTCCGCCAGAGAACAACTCCCTTTTGACTGTAATTTTTCTTTACCTACCCAAATCCTATAAAACGGCCTCACCCTTATCTCCCTTCGCTGACTGTCTTTTCAGACTCAGCCTGCCTGTACCCAGGTGATTAAAAAGCTTTATTGCTCACACAAAGCCTGTTTGGTGGTCTCTTCACACGGACGAGCAAGACAGTTATTTGGTAATACAATTATTTGTTAAAGTGCCTACCTAGTTTCTTCACTAGGCTGCTCTTGAGACTGAGCTGCTTAGCAATCAAACTGAATAATCCAGTATCACAATAAATGTTTATGTAAATAGAACTATTCCTGATATATTAAGCTCTGTAAGGGTCCTGACTGTTATGATGCTGAAGAGTATTCCCAGTAAAGATTTTTTTTTTTCTTTAAACCACATAAAAAAGTAGAGGAAGAAAAATCTTAAAGTAGAACTTCTTTGGATTTCCAGTTACTGGCATCATTGCCAACATCTAGTACCAATGGAGACATCTTTAGTATAGGAATCCCAATTCATTATATCAAATAACTAAAGAAAATTAGAAATCTTAACTTTCAATTAGTTCAATACTTTTATAGTAACAAAGAAATCTTATACTCACTGGACTCCAGCGGAGGGTGGGAGCTCTCAGGAATCCGGGGAATGTCACTAAAAGAAACAGGATATGGTGAAAATCCCATTAGCTAAATGACCCTGCCTGAGGCAATCATAGCCCATTTTATGTGATGTGAAAAATCCTGCTGGGTCTTTACAGGTGTGGAAATGAATAGGAGTTACTATTAAGGCAACTACTAATGTGCATGAATGTCAAACACCACACAAAAAAAAACTGCAATAAAAAAGTTTTTATATATTTAAGAGCAAAATACTTTAACATGACAACAATCAGACTAATATTGTGGTTAAAATCACCACAATATTTTTACTACCAAAACAGCAGGTTTGGAAATAAAAAATGTTAAAGGTAACACTTTCCTTCAATTCTAGGAAATCAAAATGACACAAATTTTACAAATCAGTAATATGCTTTACAAACACATCTGAAAGAGTTTACTGAGTGAAAGGGATGGGAACATCTCAATAAAAAAATGATATGGTGAATATCATGGGCAAAGTTAAATGAAAAGGATGAGTTGCTTTGGAAAGTAAAAATGGTTCAAGCTTGCAACAAAAAAGCCAAATTATTTTATATATGTGAATATATAATACATATGCACATATATACCCTTTATAGAGATCCATATCTCTATACTGAAGTTAGCTAAATATATGGCTATTTACTATATGGTTAGAAAGTGACTTGTGAGACCACCCATTCCTGCCACACTGATAAATTACTCTGAAGAAATATATGTACTATAGTCTCAACTTAATCCATTACCCACTGTGCCCTTAAGAACCCTAGATCACCTTGGCTTAGGTATTATACTGCATAGGACTATATTACTTCTCATTTTTCAAAGATGTTTTAATATCAATTTAAGAAGATTAACAATATGCAAGTATTAACATGACATATTAAAGCAGACTGGAGTTAGCTAGTCCCAACAACATTATCGGCATATTTTTTAAGAATTTCTAACCACTTACCTTATGACCTAACTTCACTTTTTTTTTCACTTTTTGGGGGAATGAAAACAAAAGAGTTTTCCCTGTTTGATTGTTCTCTGGAGTTGTCATTTTGACTATTTTGTGCAAAGTAATTCTCATAACCAACTATAATTTATACTTCTTAAAAATGACAATTCGGCCTAAGTTGTGTATTTTATATATTTTATTATATATTTTTGTATGACTATACATTTATATAAAGTCATTTGAATGAATTTATAATTAAGAGACTAATTTATAATACCTAAAGCACACAAAAAATTATATTCTGCTACTTTCTTCTAAATTAATGTAAGCAAATAAAAGTAAATTGTAAAAAAAATCGAGGAACAATCAATTTTTAGATAGTATAACTTCTTAAAAAATCAGCTTCATAGTCCATTATGGAATCAGAATTTGAAACTCTAAAGCCAGGTACAAACTTTGGAATTTATGCGTCTTGTGAAAAAAGAATGGTGGCGAAGTTGTTGAAAATATGTCAAAGTGACTTTTAGTTAAAATTTATTCATGTTAATTGCTTCAGTAATATTTTCAGGCATAAATTTCCACTGGATGTTTACATATCCAGTGGAATTCTTTATTAGTTCTACCTACCAGTTAGGGAACAATTAAAAGCATAAAGGTCAAAGATATTGTATTTGGTGGGTTCACAAAAAAAGTCAATACCTCAAGATGGCTGATGCCTCTTAGTGTGTACTGATCAATGTGATTGCAAGTTATATTTAGAATGATTCCTGAAATCACTATGCCACTAAATTATGAATATTTTCTTTTTCCTTTAATTATAGTTGCTAAACAGAACTACATTAAATATTATTATTAAAACACAGCTCTCTAGCCTGGGTAACAGAGCAAGACCATGTCTTAAAAAAAAAAAAAAGAAGTAGCTAAAATTATTTTTCTAGGATTCTAATAATGTATTTATTAGAAAGCTGGTATCACCTTTGATTCTGATTCAATTATAATCTTTGTATTCCACATCCTTTGACTTCTATAATCTATAAATTATAATTTTTGTATTCTATGTTCATTTCAATTCTATAATCTATAATGTGTTTAGAATTTGGCTGTGTAGATGATTACTTCTTAATTAATTTTCATAAAAAGTAAAAATAATGTTACTCCAGTCTACTTTAATTGTCTGTTACTTTTTTAAGTCACCATGAATCAGTTCTGTTTTAGTTGTTGACTTTTAAACCACTATATATTTGAAAGTATTTGGCAAGTGCACAATGCTTGATTCTAAACTTTAGCTTTCATACTTTTGATTCATTTTCCAATTTACTTACCTCTTTTCCAGCCTTATATTTACCTCAGCACTAGAACATACGTCATGTAAAACTAGCATAAATCGTAGTATTGTTATTTTAAAAGTCTACATGGAAATGTACAACACTTTTGCAAATGTCTTCAGTGTTCACTCTTAATAATCACCAGTTAAAATTGGTTAAAAGCTTGCCTTTATTTTAGAGTTTTATATATTAATATTATTTGATATATGATCATACATTTTCATTCTTTGAGAATTATGATAATTATATTTTCTTGTATGTTTTGCATTGACATATATTCGAGAGGCCAATACAAATTAAAGGTTAGCACTTTTTCAACATAAAAAGCCTTGAAGTAATGGCTGTATTATATTTTGGAGAATAGGGAAAAAAAGAATCATTTCCAAGAATACATTTAAACATTAAGCCAAGTATAATAAAACAGTTCAAAATGTCTTTAAAAATTACAGACTGGCAAAATGAATATTTATTTTGGACCATGTGGGTTTGCCAAAAAAAGGTAATGATATGGGGAAATCTATATACATACATAGAAAATATCCCACTGGCTATAGATAATTAAATTGTACAGAAAATTGAGGTTTTAAAAATATCATTATGACCAATTAAAATGTTAAAATATTTAATACTACTCGCTTGATTTTAAATAAAAGTTGAAATTACTCACGGGTAAAGAGACAGAAAAAAATGTTCTATTCTTTAGTAGAATAATAAAAAGTTCATGTAGACATATGAAATCATTAATATTTTAAATAACACAAGGAGTTTGTTAATGTCTCTCTTAAAGGAAATACTACTTATTAAATTAGAATTACTTAAATATATCTGCCATTAAAAGAAAATTTTACTTTATATTTCTCTTGCAAAAAGTACATATTGATATTTTTTGATATTACAATTATTAAAGTGTGGAGCTTCTAAAATGTAGTGAAGTAAACTCAGTATTCCAGTTAAAAAATTAAGAAATTTTTAATGATCTAAAAATGTATGCCCATAATTGATGAAAAAACTATCCATGTTAACATGTACTGTATGAATGTATAAAATTCTTTTTAAAACCCTACTAATACATGTAATTTACTAAACTTAAGAAGTAAGTTTTTTTAGCCTTACCCAATAGGCCTTGAAACAATAATTTCAACTTGAGGTTCTGATTTTGATTCTAAAATAATGTTGTAAACTTCTTCATTTGTAGCTCCCGGCAGGGGTTTACCATTCCATTCTAGAACTTCATCCCCTTGAATTTAAAAAAAAGGGTATTTTTTTACCTTATATATTCTGTTTATTTTTCGTATCTTTTCTCTTTTTTAACAAAGAAATGCAAAACATATACAAATAGTTTAATTGTCTAGGCTCTGCTTTCAAAAGCAAATTGATTGCCATATAATGTCAGCTAAATGGTTCTTCTAAACACTTTTTCTTTTCTTTGTTTTTCTTTTTTTCCCCCAGAATATTATTGGTGACTGGAAACAGTACAATACAAAACTACCTTTGTCTTTTGAGATATACCAGAAATCATATAAAAATAATCTCATGCTATGGGATGGAATTAGCACAGCCTATTTGGAAACATTAAAAAATAATAATTAGCAGCATGCCCTCCATATAATAAATGTAGGCGGCTCTATTTTTGAAATATTCTTATTAAACTGTGCATAAATCCTGTTTTATTTTTGGAAGAAAGAGCAATTAATATTTGTTAGCATGAATTTCCCAATTACAAGTCATGCTTCAATGTCTTCACCAGATGCACAACAGAATAAAAATGCATGAAAGGATTTGAATTCACACCCATCAGTTAACGCAGGTAGCTATGGCAAAATTACAAAGCAAGCAGATGTAAAACTGTTGCATGACAGTTAACCCACTTCCAGATGTTCAAAACACATATATACTATACATAATCTATATTGTGAACATTAAAGTACAAGTAGAAAACACTTTAACAAAACATTAATATAGTACGTAGTAGTTTGTTAAATATTCTAAGATTAATCAAAGGGAGCTAAAAGATGTTGCGTTAAAAAAATACAGGCTAACAACTTATAGTTGTTATTTTAACTACGGTTTTCACACCATAGGTCACGTGAAAAAAAAAACTATTTATTTTCATAAATATTTAAGAAGTTGTAGTACCAAATGGTTCTCTGCCTTAGACCCTTCAATTCAAAATGGTAGTCTCAGCTGAAATATTCCAACCTCATTGATGCACTGAGGTGTCTTAATTTGTTGATGTTTATGCTTATTTTGTTGTTCTCAGTATCTAGAACATTTTATGAGCAAAGTAAATTTGTGTTGACATACTGGGTCAATATCATCAGTGTACATTTTACAGCCAAGTATAAGCATAAAATCTTTTCAATGTGTAGCTAGAATTTTTTTAATAAAAGTAGGAAAATTGCTTTGCTAGTATTACTTTAAAGTAATTATATTTTCCAGTTGTTTGCTCACTGAAGAGTAAAAAGCAAATATGTGAAAAGTACATGATGCTGCTTTGGTTTGGTAAGATACTATGGTAATCACCAATTCTTTTTTTTTTTTTTTTGAGACAGAGTTTCACTCTCGTTGCCCAGGCTGGAGTGCAGTGGCGTGATTCGGCTCATTGCAACCTCCGCCTCCCAGGTTCAAGCAATCCTCCTGCCTCAGCCTCCTGAGTAGCTAGGATTACAAGCATCCACCACCATGCCCAGCTAAGTTTTGTATTTTTAGTAGAGACGGTGTTTCACCATGTTGGCCAGGCTGGCCAGGTCTCCTGAACTCAGGTGATGCATCCGCCTCAGCCTCCCAAAGTGCTGGGATTACAGGTGTGAGTCACGGTGCCCGGCCACCAATTCTAATAGACTGCCCTAAGCTGTTACCTAGAAAAGCTTTTCAAATAGGCAATGAACATACTTCACTGTAAAAAAAAAAAAAAAAGAAAAGAAAAATGATAATTACAAATTTATAATACATCAAGAGTGCCTTCAAAATTTTTTGACCAAGAAAAGAAACAAAGTTGACATCATGGTCCTGTACATATATAATATGAACACTATATATACGTGTGTGTGTGTATATATACACATTCATATTATATGAGTACATACATATATATATACACTAAAAAATTTGTAAAACAATACTTACCCTGATTTTTCTATTTTATTATGTTCTACTTCAATTTTTTAAAGTGGTAGGTGCAAACGATTAAATTGATTTTACTACCCAATAATAAGTTGCAACCAGCAGTTTGCAAAAGCACTGCATTTTAAAACTCTCCTTTTCATAAGCAGCAACCTGGACACATAACTTTTAATATAAATTAACTTAATACATATGCTTATTTATTTACAGATTAATAATTCCTAAACCAGAATGCTTTTTTTTTTTTTAACATTATTTATGTGTAGATAATCAAGCAGGGATGTAGACAACAAGGGTACAAAGATGAAAATGACATTTTATTGGTCTTTAAATTTGGTCATGAAGAAATGATACAGAAACAAATAACTTTAATAAAATATTTTATATGCAACAATAGAAGTTCATTTGAGAACCAGAAATAGAGTCAAGTGGTGCCAGGAACATAGTAATTAGTTATTGTTCCAGGTGAGATATTAGGAACCACTTTAGAATTAAGGCAACTTCAGATGAATTGTGAAGGATGGAAAGGCCTTCAACAGGAGGAGTAGAAAACTATGTAGACAAGAGTCATTGACCACGTCTTCTAGGTGGGAAACAGCCTGACAGGAACCTACAGGTGGACCAACATCCTGGACAGCTGAAAGTGTTAGTAGAGGACAAGGCTACAGAGCTTTGACTTGAACAAATGATAACTAGGAAACACTGAAGGATCTTCATTAATAAAGAGAGTGTCAGTGTCATTTTTGTGTTTTACAAGGTTAAATGAAGTAGCAGTACAGTGCATAGACTTGAAGCGGGGCAGTACTGGATAAAGATATTGCAAGATTAAAGCAAGATTGCAAATGTTAAATAAAAGTCACATTGATTTTTTAAAAACTGGCTAAAGATGTTTATATGCAAATAATTCTATTTGCAAATATGCAAATATTTAGTCAGTTCCTAAATTATAATGTAAATCAAATAGGATATATGATTGAGTCTGTAAAATCACTTTACTTTCTTCAAATACATAAATTGCTTAGAATGAAAAGTACACTTGTCTGCTTTATAGTTAAGCTGAGCTTTTAACATTTCAGATTTAAGTTTCTCGGGCTCTTGGCTCTTGAAATGAATCATTAACAGATATTTTATATAGAACACCCCTCTTCTTTTACTTCCTAAGTAACTTCCCATTAAAACATAATAATGTGTGTATAATGTGTATATAATGTTTATATTGTGGTCTGCAAACTCAGGTTTCTGTAGTTAAAGTTATCTTACATTAGCCAACAAGAGATTCTCAGACTTTCTGAGGCTTATTTTTGAGTCATTAGATAAACACACACTCAGTTTACTGACACAATAAACCCTGAATGAGTTATTTTCCTACTGAATCATAACTGGTACTTCATAAGAAATAACAGTGTAACATATCTCTATACATATTCAAAGTCATATAGCAGATGGAGAAAAATCCATCTGTATGGAGTTTTCTTCCTATACACCTGCACAGCAAGTCCTTGTCAAATTAAAAAAAAAGAAAAAAAGCCGGGCACGGTGGCTCACGCCTGTAATCCCAGCACTTTGGGAGGCCGAGGCGGGCGGATCACAAGGTCAGGAGATCGAGACCACGGTGAAACCCCGTCTCTACTAAAAATACAAAAAATTAGCCGGGCGCGGTTGTGGGCGCCTGTAGTCCCAGCTACTCGGGAGGCTGAGGCAGGAGAATGGCGTGAACCCGGGAGGCGGAGCTTGCAGTGAGCCGAGATCGCGCCACTGCACTCCAGCCTGGGCGACAGAGGGAGACTCCGTCTCAAAAAAAAAAAAAAGAAAGAAAAAGAAAAAAAAATAAAATGATTTTGAATGGATATCCTGGTTAACAAACACACTGAAAAGTCTTTAAGAGTCCTATAATATTTTGCCAAAGTTTTCAAGAATCACTAACTTAAGGTTTAAAAGTTAAGACTATCACCTGGAAATGTAGTCTGTGTTATGGGTTATTAATCTTTAATTCCACAGCTTAGCCAACTGTGTTTCCTTTATAGTTGTCTGGCAAATAAACAGCCATCTAACAAAAATATTTCTCCTAAGCTCTGCAGTAAAGTCAACTGGAAGAAATATTTTGATGTGATTTTAACAAAAATGAAAAGTTAACTATTTACTAAAAATATATTTTAAAATGTGTTACTATTTAAAATATGATACATTAACATATATTAAATAATTCCATTGTGCCATGTTCAGTTATAGGGCAACAAAAATAAATTTCTAAATACCAAGAGGCAGCACATCTGCATGAGTACAGTATATGCCACTTTTAAATTAACTAATATTTTATTATACAATCTGTGTAAGAAATGTTATAATGATTATGTTTTACTAAAAACACTGCTCCTGAATAAGTGTTTCAGGACTGCTCTGAACAATTTGGTAATTACTGTAGCTTAAAATATAAACTAAATAACTAAATAGTGATATAATTTTTTTTTCACAAATTGTTTTAGATTTCAACTTTTGTAGCAATATTATGATGTCATCTCCAAAAATGAGTAATTCTTCTATATTTTACATCTTTTCATTTTTATATAAATAAAGAAGATTCCTATCCTTACTCTCCAGATTGCTGCTGATGTAGAGTTACCTACTATTGCAATTGGTAAATATTTATATCAGGAAAAAATCTGTATTCATGCATTAAAATTTAGTGACTTCATTGATACATATATACATATATATATGTATGTATGTATGTATAAAACTAACCCCAAATTGAAAACCACCAACTCATGTTCATGTATGGAGAAAACACTGTTTAAATATTAAAAAAAGAAACTTTACCTGCTCTTAGGTGTCCAACTACATCTGCTAGGCTACCCTTCTTTACTTTGGTGATGAAAGCACCAAGTCGTCCTAAGTCAGTCATTTTTCCTCCAACAACCTGGATAATTACAAATTTATAAGTTTCCAAGACTCATACCAAAACATAAGCTTATTAGTTTGAGGAATTAATCCTACATTCTTTTATGATGAACTTGAAATTGCATGTAGAAACATTAATGAAGCGAAACACATTTTTTTTTTTTTTTTTGAGATGGGATCTTGCTCTGTCACCCAGGCTGCAGTGCAGTGGCATGATCACAGCTCACTGCAGCCTCGACCTCCCAGGCTCAAGTGATCCTTCAAATTCTGCCTACCAAGTAGCCTAGACCACAGGCATACACCACCATGCCCAGCTAATTTTTAAAATTATTTGTAGAGACAAGGTCTTGCTATGTTGCCCAAGCTGATCTTGAACTCCTGGGCTCAAGTGGTCCTCCTGCCTTGGTCTCCCAAAGTGTTGAGATCACAGGTGTGAGCCACTGGCACTTCACTTACATTTTTGATTAAGGTAGCTGGGAGAACAGTTTTGAAAAGAAAACATCTCATATTTGAGATGACTATGTGTCCTAAGGAAGTTTGGGTACTGATTTCTTTCTTTCTTTTCATGTACAGATTTCTTTCTCTCCCCACCCCTCCCTCCCTTCCTCTCTCTCTCTTTTTCTTTCTTTCTTTCTTTCTCTCTCTCTTTCTTCTCTCTTTTTTTTTTTTTGAGACAAGGCCTCACCCTGTCACCCACAGAGTGCGCTGACATGATCATAGATGGCTGCAGCCATGAACTCCCAGGTTCAAGTGATGCTCCCACCTCAGGCTCCCAAATAGCTGGGACTACAGGCATGTGCAGGCACTACAGTCAGCTAATTTTTTAATTTAAATTTTGTAGAGAAGGGGTCTCACTATGTTGACCACGCTGGTCCCAAACTCCTGGGCTCAAGCGACCCTCTCACCTTTGCCTCCCAAAGTGTTGAGATTAAAGGCATGAGTCACTGCACCTAGTCTGTACTGATTTCTTAAAAGCGAGCTTGTCCAACCCCCTGTCAGTGGGCCACAAGTGGCCCGGGATGGCTTTGAATGTGGCCCAATACAAACTTGTAAACTTCCTTAAAACATTATGAGGTTTTTTTTTTTTTTTTTAGCTCATCAGCTGTTGTTAGTGTTGATGTACTTTATGTGTGACCCAAGACAATTTTTCTTCTTCCAATGTTGCTCAGGGAAGCCAAAAGATTAAACAGCCCTGTCTTAAAGTGACCTAACAATAAAAGGGCACCATAAATAATGCATATACTTAGAAAACAGGTGCCAGGTCTTCCTCACTTAGTATCAAACAGCAAGTGTTTGACAGTTTACATTAAAGTTCATTTTTCTTTATCATTCAAATTCATGTGTACCATTTGAATTATTATTTCTACATGAAGATAATATCCCATTGTCAATATCAGATCTTGATCTCTTCTGTGTATCTGTAGTAAAATGTAGGTCTATGACCATAAAGACTAGATTCAAGCCAAGCAAATGACATTTGGGGGAAGCAATTTACCATTGTGCAAAGCCTAATAGCCTAAATGCATCTCTGCAGCTGACCATCTCATCTGAAATATGTATCTAGGCCCATAAGACTATCAAAATCTGAGTTTTATTATAGAATATTTTAAAATCTATGTTTAAGTTCTTCCAATGCAGGGGCTCAAATATATATAATTTAAAATGAAGAGAATATCACCAAAAGTTGAGATTCATCCACAATTCTTTAGTGGCACACCCATTAGTGGAGGTAATCAGAATTATTTCACACAGGAGTAATTAACGGTAATAATCAACAAGAGAGCACTATTAAGTACATTAATTTAAAAAAATTCTTACAAAACTCTTGTAATTAGAAAGTGATCCCTTTAATGTTCATGTTGCTGCTCAAGTTACAATAAAAGTCCACATCATCTATGCTACTTTCCATTTAAATCTTAATGCAAGAAATCATCCTGAACTTTATAGTCAGAAAAAAATACATTAGTTTCCCTAAAGTTTATTCAATTTTCCTAATACATCTATATGCTATATCAATAAAATTATATAAAATATTAAAATGACATTTAAAAATCATTGCCAGAAACTCTGATGAATGCAGACCATAGTGTAATTCACCCTTTAAGAAACATTTTAAACCAGCATACTTACTTTCAGACCCAGCAATGCACCCGATTCTTTGGGCATGGTTGTTCTCTTGTTAAGAATAACACGTCCAATTAATCGGTCCCCCTCTTTAGATGGCTGCCACGTTACAGGATGCTGTTAAAACATGAACGAGTTTAAAAAGTAACATATACAGAGTAGAATGCATTCAGCTATAAAAAGAATTAAGTCTTGTCATTAGAGGTAACATGGGATAGAACTGCAGAACATTATGTTAAGTGAAATAAGCCAGGAACATGTTAGTTCCTGCATGAAAGTTAAACACTGCATATGCTCACTCACATGTGGAAGCTAAAAAAAAGTTGATGTCGTAGTAGTACAAAGTAAAATAGAGGATAATAGAGGCTGGGAAGGCAGGGAGAAGGGAAGGATAGGGATAAATTTGTTAAAGAATACACAATTACAGCTATATATGAGGAATAAGTTCTGGTGTTCTATAGCACTATAGGATGACTATAGTTAATAATATATAGTTTCTAAAAGCTAGACGGAGGACATTGAATGTCCCCAATACAAAGAAATGATAAATGTTTAAGGTGATGGATATGCTAATTACCCTGACCTGATCACTATACATTATATGTCCTGAAACATCACTATGTACTGTATAAATATGTACAATTATTATGTGTCAATTAAAAAATAAAATATAAGACAAATAATAGGAACAACTGGCAGAGTAACTTAGAAATCATTATTGAAAAATATTTTCATTTATAATATCAACCTAAAAATATTTTTAAATCCTAAGGAATTGATAAATAAACTGGGCATATCCAGACAAAAATATTATTCAATGGTATAAACAAACCAAAAAGCATCACCAAGCCACAAAACGACAGCGAAGAACTTTAAATGCATATTGTTAAGTGAAAGAAGCAAATCTGAACAGGCTATAAATTGTATGATTCTAACCATGGGACATTCTGGAAAAGGAAAAACTACAGAGACAATAAAAAGATCAGTGGCTGTCAAGGACTTAGCGGAGAAGAAAGGAGAGAGGGATCAATAAGTGGTGCCAGGGATTTTTAGAGCAGTGAAACTATTCGGTGTGATACTGTAATGGTGGATACATGACATTATAAATGTGTTAAAACCCACAGAATGTATAACATGAAGTATGAACCTAATGTACACTATGGACTTTGGTCAATAATAATACATCAATATTTGCTCATCAGTTGTAACAAATAGACCACACTAATGCAAGATGTTAATAACCAGCTAAACAGGTGGAAAGGGGTGGAGTAAGGAAGTATATGGGAATTCTGTACTTTCTCCTCAAATTTTCTGTAAACTTAAAACTGCTCGAACAGGCCTATTAAACTTTTAAAAAGTAAACAACTTGCTTTCTTTCCTACAGACACAAATTATTAGTTGTAGCATGATGCAATTTCCTCAGTTAAAAGACACTCTAGAGGAAATTTCAGTGGACTCCATCCTTGGCTTATAACTATATTTCATTTGTAGCAGAAATTTATACTAAAAGTTGCTTAAAGTGGTTGGCAAATAAGTATACATTTTAAAATGGTTCTAAAATGGAATTAATTGAAATTTAAAAATATATCTGCTTATATAAAGAAAACTGATTCTGTATGGTGACTTGTTAATGTCAATATCCATAACTCAACATCTCAATCTTTCTTACAGTCATTATTTAATAATCATTTTTTACTTAACTTAAAATTTGTTATAATTATTCAGTAATAACTGCTTTTTTCTTCAAAACTGTACTATCTTAAATGAAATCAATATTTGCCCTTACCAAATGAATAATGGAGCAGATATCACATATCAGACAAAGGACAATGAACGAGCACACACATTCCCTAAACTTCAAACACACTTCCCAGAAAACTTACCGAACTAATAGGTGATGTCTCCCGGCTGTGCCACGTGGCAGGATCCAACCAATAATAATCCAAATCACCTGTGCAATAGAAAAAAGAATGAAAAGTGTAATGGTGTTAAAGAGAAGAGTGTATCACTTTAAGCTTTACTTCTTCAATCTATAAAGTAAAGCGTTATAATATCATAAGCTTGAGCGTGTACATTGCAGAATGAGGCACATCTGTGTTGCAAAAGTTGTGACTTGAATCACTGGAATGAATGTATGCTACAAATGCACTTCATACAATGAATGACTACCTTTTTCTCTCATAAATCAGTCTGGAAACACATATAAGTGTACAGAAAATTAATAAAATTGAAATTACTACTACCACAAATGTTGTTATTCAAAAGGTAATTATTGCAATTTGCAAAACTCTATCCTATAATTTAAACTTAGTAAAAATGCCTAATGACTTCCTGAATGCTGATTCATGTTGAAATTCTGTGATAAATTAATAGAAACACTGAGATATTTGCAGAGAAAGCGAATTATATTTCCCCAAAAAAGAAAAATTGATCATTAAATTAAAAGCTACTTTAAGAAGTCTTTGAAGTTTAAAAAAATGACAAAAATTCATCCTAAACACTTCAAGAAAACAAAAGTTCATTGTATCCCTCAATAACCTGACTTAGGTCTTGAAAACTACTCCTCAGGATTCTTCTCTCGTTCATGCCCCAATATCTCATATGGTGGTTCAACCCCTTGTCTCACTCATATTATCCTAAGTGAATCTATTAATATTATACATCTAATATGAGTGAAACATGGAGTTGAACCACCATATTATATATATATGTGTGTGTGTATATATATATGGTGAATATATATATGGAGAAAATATATATGGTGAATATATATATGTGGTGAATACTCAATCTGCAAAAAATTGTTCCTTATAGGCAAAGGACCAAAAGTTGATGTTTCTGGGTAAGGTTCAATGGTGATACTCAACACACTTTATTATGAAAACAGTGCTATCAAGCAGTGCTATTCTATGATATAGAAGCTTTGTAGAACAATGATGTTGAATGGAGAATCTAATTTAATTGGTTTGGTACTGGATAAATATTACACATAGTCTGTCAGATGATTCCAGTGAGCAGCCAGGACTCTTACAGTATCCTGTAATAAAACGGATGCTACAGATATTGCAGCTTAACAAATTTTGCTTTTTCCAACTTTGGTCATACATAGTTTTGTAGCTATCTACTAAATATTGCCAACAAATGTAAATGTAAAAAACACATTCATTATTTTAGCATACAATACTTGTATATAGTTTAGTATACAATCATACCTCCTTCATATTCTGAATGGCTTCTAATAGTTTTCATCATTACCCATTAAAATATAACACTTTTGCTTAAAGACTTATAAAAAATAAAATCTAAAATCTAAATACTTAGTTGTAAACTATATTTGTTTTTTCTATCCCTGTAATTACTGTTTGAAAGATATTACTGAACTCCTAAGCACTCTTAATTGGTCTTGATAACTCAGATTTCACTATTATTAATGGAATAAGCAACACCCAACAAAACATGCTCCTAAAATATTCAGAATCTAGTATTTCATTAACACAAAACATTTTCCTTGATTATTTTTGTAATAGTTGATTAAAGATATTGACTACCAGATGGCATAGCTGCAAAATGGTAAATTCATGGTATCTGCTTGTGGAGTCAACACAAAAGCAACTTGGTCCTAACAGCCAATGGAATCCCCAAGGAACTAATTCACTATTCCCATTAATTTAGAATCACGAAATATGTCAGCTGCTTGTGTCTATGGAAATGTCTCAAGTTCATAACTAGCCAAGTTCAATGAAGTGTTGTAATTTTGAAAATCATTTTTTGTGAAGGATTTAAAAATTTTTATACTATACCTTGTGAAAAAGTAGATTAAATTTAATAAACACACAACTATCAAGGCAGAAATAAAAGTCAGCTAAATTACACACGAATTTTCTATAAAGAGAACTAGTGTTTTCTAAACCCAGGTCATTATTATTAGAGTATGTAACAAGGCATAAACATGTATCTCTATCTCTATAATTTAGAATTGTGTATCTTATGATGTCTAGTGTTAAAGCACAATGGATTTCAATAAGATCAATCAATGCCAATTAAACAAAATTCCCTTCAAAATAATATACATGCATGATTGAGCACGTGTATGTTAATATACTTAGTAAAAGTAAGTTTTACTTACTTTAATTTCATTCCTCTAATTTCAAATATTAAATATCTATTTAGCAATTTACATGACAGCTCTACTTGACCAAGTGAATGTGCACGTAGTAAAGGAAACCTTATCTGTCCCAAAGCCTTGAAGTATTAGAAAATTTGAACTTCCTGACTATCTCTAGAAGTAATATGCAGCGTATTTTTAATATCATTATAATGAATAATAATAAAAGATGGAATTCAAACCAATTCTAAGATTGGCTCACAGCAACTCACAATAATGAATAGCAATTTCAAATACATACATGTAGTCACCTTCAAAAAGAGATTGTTCTTCCTAGATATTAATAGAATAGATTTCCATTAAAAAAAAAAAAAGTAAATTTCACAGACCAAGAATCAGAATTATCTTTCCCACGTATTTGCTGAACCTCTTAAAATATTTTCGTCTTTTACTTTTTTGAGTCCTCTATAGCAGGATGTGAGTTGGAACTAAACGAAACATTGAAGAAAATATGTTTATTGAATGTTTTTACGCACTGCATACACAAAAAGCCAAGTGAGTTCTAAGAACAGGTTTTCAAGTTGAGACAAGGTAAGATATTGACACGTGGACACGTACCATGGTCAGCACACACGAGTTAAATATTGTTTTAGTTACACTGTGATATTAAAAATACACACATTTTAATATTTTACAGGGATATTCATTTGGGAAACAGTCTTCTCATAGACAAGAGTTAAAATCTGAAGTCTAAGAACTAAGATAAACTCTTAACTCTGGATTAATATACTTAAAATACCACTTTGAAACGTTTCTTCATATTTCAGAAGTCTATTTAAGATGGTTCCATGCCTACAATGGAAAAGTATGCTTCCACTTCCCCTAGATTATATACAATAGAGGAGCTAACTTTGGAATAAATAAGCAGTAATTTGCTATACAGGAAGTCCTAGAAAGTCTAATTTCACCTAACTAGAGGTCAGGAATAAGAAACAAATATTATTTAATAGTGCTTATTATCTAGGCATTACAATAAAATGAGAAGATACACTTGTTAAATTTAATCATTAATCATACAATCTATAAAACATTAAAGTGTATTTTATAAATAAATCTATGTGTACTGTTACAAAATTTATATAAATTATCTTTCACAATTGAATTACTGTCATTCACAATTGAATTATTGTCAAAGTTCCTAGCATAGTGAAAATACTGGTCCTCAAATACTTTTTGTTAATTTTATTCTAAATTCAGGCCAATATTCACTCCCTAAACATATCTGAAGGCAAACACTGCATAAAATTAGGTAATACAGATTTTTGTCCCTTGAGCTCAAGGCCTAAAGCAGGGCTAGAGGCCTCTCCAGATCACGGGGCTTCAGCAAGAACGTCTTTAACAATTTTAAGTAACTTAAAATCAAATTTCTTGTTTTGGTTCTAGGACCAAAAAAAGGTATAAATCCTTGGGAGAGTTGCATATTATCTCTAGCCATTAGGAGTTCATTAGCGCTATTGTTTTCTAAATGCATCTTAGAAATTTCACTTTGGATGGCAGCTATGTTTACCACCAAAGATACTCAACATAAATTATAATCAAAGAAATACAAATCAAAACCACAATGAGATAGCATCTCATACCTGTTAGGATGGCCTATTATAAAAATTTAAAAAGAAATCAGTGTTGATGAGAATGTGGAGAAATTTTGGAATCTTTCTACATGGCTGATGGGAACGTAATCAGTACAGTCACTATGGAAAACAGTATAAACGTTCCTCAAAAAATTAAAAATAGAACTACCATAAGGTCTAGCAATACCACTTCTTATCCAAAGGAATTGAGATTAGAATCTCAAAGATATATCTGCATTTCCATGTTCACTGCAGCACTATTCACTATAGCCAAGAGGTTGAAACAATGACCACAGACAAATGAATAAAGAAAACGTGGTATAAACATACAACATAGTATTACTAAGCCTTGAAAAAGAAGGAAATCCTGCCATTTTTGACAACATGGATGAAACTTGAGAATACTGTGCTCAGTAAGCCAGATAAGGAGGACAGTGTTATACAAGGAATATAACGAGGAGTATAAGTAGTACTATATGAGGAATCTAAAATAGTCAAACTCATGGAAACAGAGAATAGAGTGGCAGTAGCTAGCAGATGGGGAACAGGGGAAATGGGGAGGTATAAGTCAAAAGGTACAAAGTTTCAGTAATACAAGATGAATAAACCCTAGAGATTTACTTTATAGAATTGTGTCTAGAGTTAACAATACTGTGTGTCATACTTAAAAATTTGCTAAGAGGGTAAATCTTAACTTTAAGTATTCTTATTACAAAAAAGAAAATAATAAAGAGGGTGGAAGTTTCAGAGGTGATGGATATGTTTATGGCATAGAATGTGGTGCTAGTTTTAGGAGTGGATATTTCTCTCCAAACTCATTAAGTTGTATACAATAAACATGCCTAGCTTTTTCTATGTCAAATATACCTCAATGAAGTGCTTTTTTAAAAAAGAAAAATATTACCCTTTTAAAGTTCCGCTTTGTTCATAATTGCACTCTGCTTCCATCCTAAAACCAAGAACATCCCTGTGTCTTTCTCTCTGATATGTAACTTTGATAATTCAGGTAAACTTAAGTATTATTGAATTGATTTATGTAAATGTATCGATTATTATTTATTAAGTTATTGGTGTGACAAAGATGTTTGTATTCAGAAATTATTCACACTCAGTGAAACCTCCAGAGTTGAACTACCCCAGAGAGTGAGTAAATATTTGCTTGAAGCCATGTGGTGCCACCTTTATGTTTTACAATTTTAGGACACAGGCAAGGAA